ACAGTTACTCCCCAATTCGGCCCGGTGTTGGGGAGGCTCCGTTAGAATACAGCCGAATTTAACCTCCCAGCTGCAACTCATCCAGTGGGCACGGAAGTCGCATAACACCCTGGATTCGGAGGTGGTAGCTCTTGGTTAGCGCACGCATGCGGACCCATCATCCCGCATGGTCAGTGCTACCCAGCACCAGCCGCACGGGTTGGGGGGCGCCGAGTATGCCCTGCGCCTAAGCCCCTGCACCGCGACAAGGTGCCTACCATTCGCAGAGGTACTCCATAGATGTATAGTATTGCCAGATACGAGCTCTGTAACACGTTATATATAGCCGTGAAATTCAAAAAACAAAAARGCGGAGGGGAGATATTTGACAACCTAATATATTTCGGTATAGGATTTTTGCAATCTGCAATCTGCAATCTTGCAAGAGCAAGAGAATCCCTCTATTATGCTAAATGGTAAACAAACTTTATCCACAATTATTATAGTCTGAAAATGTGAAATTATGTTTTTTTTTTTTAAGAAATACATTTTTAGAAAAAAGTATATTTCTCCTTTTTTTAATTTTCCACATAAACTTTTTAGCTGGGATTTAGATTAGCATCCCCCGATTTATATATTTCGATTTCATATATTTAAAATGCGTGTTTCTCCGATTTATAATGAATTTCGCAGTTATATTTTTCACTCTATATCCACTAATTCCTTTCTTACCATTTATTTTATATTAAAAAGTGCAAAATTACATTCATTCAACATTTAACTTTTGTTGAATTAGTTTTGTTCACATAATTAACAAAAGAGTTGTATTCTAACTAATAATCAGTGTTACGTACATATTTTACAGAAGAACCAAAAGAAATAGAGAAAAAAAATAATACCTCAGTGACAGGAAATAATTAACAAATAAGTTTTTCGCATAGAATTCTTTTCTGCATTGGCGGCATTCGGTCGAGCTTCAAACCAATAAACCTGGTTGGACCAACACTTGCGTGTTGTTTTTGTGTTGAACTCCTTTTTGCGTTGGCAACATTCGGCCATACCCATTTTAACCCCGAAATCCGGGAATGTTATTCTAATATTTACCCAATTTTTCCTCAGGATTAAAAAGTTTTTGTTAAAACTTATGGTTTTCGAGATATTTATATTTAAAGTTCGAAAATCTGTAAAAGTAATGCTCGTTATTTCACTATGTTTAACCCACTTTTCACACATTTTTTCAATTAATTAGGGGTTTCACATAGTCTCATAAAGATATAAGTTGTAGCGATCCGAAAACATAGCGTTCAGAGTTGTATTTGCGTAAACGTATTTTAGTATGCAATCCACCAACATTTTTTTTTTGAAACTAGTATAAAAATTTATGAATTTATGATTTTACGATGCATTATGACACGTTGAGAGTACCCCAGATATATTTTTAATGGGGCGTCGAAGGATTTGGAGAATTATTTTTTCATTAGTGTTTGAGATACATGTCGTTTTGTGAGCCGCTAAAAGTGAGTTTTTCGTTTTTTGCGATGTCAAAATTTGTTGAGCAAAGAATTTGCATTAAATGATCATTTCGCCAAAAACTCAACCCACATCGTTCCGCAACCACCATCTTCACCTGATCTGGCGCCGTGCGACTTCTGGCTATTCACTGAGCTCAAAAGACCGCTCCGGGGACACCGTTTTTATCCGATATTCAAGCCGCGAAGACGGAACTGAGGTCATCTCAGAAAGTGACTACAAGCAGTGTTTCGAARATTGGAAAATCCGTTGTCATAATGTACTACATCTAGTCGGGATTACTTTGAAGGGGATGAAATTGATTTGGAAAAATAAAGAATTTTCAAAATATATACAATGTCACCTTATTTTTTGGTATTTCAAAAAGGCGGAGGGGAGTTATTTGACAACCTAATAAATTTCGGTATAGGATTTTATATAACAGCATCACATACAAAAAACTTATTATAGAATGCAAAGTTTTTAGTATTACTCTTTTTTTGATTAACATAGGTGTTCGATCGATGAGAGTTGTTTTTTTTTTTATCTTTATTTATTAAATGACATAAGATACGAAATATATTTGCACCATTTTTGTTGTTCTTGCATTGGAAATGTAACATTTCTATACATGTTAAAAGAAAATTTTTGGATTATTTTTTCCAAACACATCATGTGCCAACACTGGCATTAGGCATGCCATCTATATCAACAATCTATGAGAGTGAATTGCATATCAAACTGTGAAACTGTCTCGCAAACTATAAGTCTATATGCGCAAATATTTTTTAATCCTGAGGAACTCTTATTTCCATTCATACTCTCAAATCGCGACGCCAAAAGAATCTTAATGTACTGTGATGCAGTATCAAATTTCTAAATTTGACATTTTAAGTTAGAGACAATTTTTGAGACTTGAGACGATTTTGCTATTCTGTAAGTGACAGTCACACATTGTTCAGCGCACAAGCCCATACACGAGTGAATCGCAATCGCACTCATACCGATCCACGCACATGTGTGTCGTGTATGGCTACTTTAAGTCATAAAGCATGAAGAGTCAGAAACACTATCGATAGTGAATCCAAAATAAAACCATCGATAGGCYAATAAAGTTGTTGCGACGATTGCTTTCCAACTACAACCATCACTAATGATGTATTTTATTCTGACGTAACATTGCTGTCGGATCCTATATCAACTTCGGATTCATTACTAACAAGCGGAATGTTGCGGTTATTTAATACTCTTTTTGAGTTGTACTCTCCTCGTTTATCTTATATTAAAGAGGTTTGTAAATTSCACACTGGCCTTGTTATGCGAAAAGTTGAAGACAGAAAAGGAATGATGGCTTCCCTCCCTGATAAAGAYGAGGGAACAACGGGAGAAAAGTCTATTGATATAGACACGCTTATTCAAAAGTAAGGTACAATAATATAATGTTTTAGCGAGTTGACAATAAGAATTATATAAAACAAAAGATGCGCTTGAGCAAACTAGGAGATTAGAGGATTTTAGATTAGCTTACATCGGATTGTGAAAAATGCGTATTGCTGCAAGTAAGCACGATTCGGGTAAAAAAACACGTATTTCGGATAGAGAAGYTTCTCCATAGGAGAAAGAAGCAAAAAATAAGGTTGAAATTTAGAATAGCATCTCTGGATTTCGGGGATAAAATGGTTATCACTGGAAAGGTGACGTTCTCCAGATCGCGAAAATATATATAATTGCCGCTGACTGATAGTTTTAAAGATATTTGCATTTAAAGTTGAAAAATTTAGAACATTTACATTGATGATTTGTATATTGCGAATAACTTTTTCACTTATATTATGTACTTTTCACTTACTAACACTTCACTATAAGGTTTCTGTATATTAATTATATTAATATTTGTTTTAAATAAATCTTTATTTTAACTATTTTATTTTAGTTAAATTCCCTGCATTTGCACAATAAGAAAAGGGTTGGCATGGTTATTTTTTTTCCGCGCCGCGATTTTAGGCACAATTCCGRTTTCTTTGGGGCCGCGATTTGAAGGTACCGTTGGAAAGAGGAAGTTCTCCTGATTAAAAAATATATAGGGTTATAGGTACCGCAAGCGCTTAGTTTAGTCGACCTTAAAGTTCAAAAATTCCCAAAATTCCAACATTTTTAGAAGCTATTTAACCATATTAAACACACTTTATTCACAATTTTCTCTTCAAATTAATTAAATTAAACTATAAACTTTTAAATAAATCAATATTTTACACTTTTAGCAGGTGTTTCACATAAGAAATCTTTATTTTAAAAATTACATTTAACACTTGTAGTGAACACCTTTTATGTGAACAAAATTACGACGAAATGGAGCGCTGCCATGTGATAATAAGAAAATCGCTGAAATTCCTTTTTTTCCCAAAAATTCCTCTATCCATGCATATGAATATGTTCTTTATTTAATTTAATAAACAAATAAGTAATATATAATTAATATCTATATAATTAATATTATATTACTTATTATTACCTAATATACAAAACAACGTCTACTATCCAACGCAGAAAGTAGTACAATGCGAAAGTACTTCAGTCACGGCGGTTATTCGCTCGACCAGGGTTATTTTTTTTAGACCGCGGCCGAAGGCCGCAAACAAATAAAGGAGTACTAGGCGAAAGTACTTCAGTCATCCCGATATGATATAAATTTTATAATATTATCGGCCAGTTTTAGTTATTTGTGTTTCTTAAATATAAATCACATATTATACATATACATATGTAGATGGAAAAAGTGTTCACAACTCAATTATAACTTGAAAAATGTTGGAAAGTATTTTTTACTGTAATTAATATAGAAAAAAGAATCGCAAAATAAACAAACAAAGAAAAATCGTTAGGAATCCTACATATTTGGTGTTTAAGATGTGGCAACGCTCGTTGTAAACAATCTAACCTCTGCTGCGACGAGTGAGATAAGTGATTTTTAAATTAATAAATTTAAGTAAAATATTACAATATAAAATAGAAATGTGAACTTATTTCAATGTTTAGAGTGTATATTTAAATATACGGAGTGAAAAACGTGAATAAATTTAGTGAWAGATAGAGAAATACCATGTGCTATTAGTGCAAATTTTTGAACTTTTAATCTTGAATATTTTTAAAAATTTGTATATTATTTTTGGATATTCCTCCTCTGGAGAAGCTTCCATAACCGCACATACCCCATTTACACATTAGCCATTAGCACCCTCATCGTTGAAAAGGTTAGATTGTTTACAATTATGATTTTTCTTTTTCTGTATTTTCGCGTAATTCTGTTTTCTATATTAACTATAATAAAAAAAACTTTCCAAAAATTGTCTAGCTGTAATTGTCTTGTCAACACTTTTTGTTGTAGTTTTAACAGTTATCTAATCTCCGTTTGGGTGGTAAGGGCCATTTGTCTTGTAGTCGAGATCATGCAGGACATACATTGGATATGTCTGGGTCAATCCTGGAGAAGTAGGAGTTTATCCTGCTACAATATTCAGAACGAAGTTGCGCTAGGGTCACTCGCGTTTCTCGCGGCAACTGGAGCTCTTCGTCTGCAATAGGTGGTGGTTTGACTCCAAGAACGCCATTCACGGGAAGGGTGTCGGTGAAGGTGTTGATGACTCCACTGTGAATGGCGGTCAGTAGGAGAGGAGAGGAGTTCATTGTGCTCCTTTCCAGGAAGCATAAGCGTCTCGCTGTGGAGGTGTTCAATGGGAGACAGTATTCTGGCAGATCTGAAGTTCCTCGATCCACTGCATTCAGGCGACCATATTGGTGCTGCGTAGTTAAGGACCGTCCGCCCGATTGCCTTGTAAGTTGCCAACAACGTTTCTTTGTCGTTTCCCATGTGCTGGCTGCTGGCGACTTGCGGATCTTGTTGCGGCTCTGTACTTTGGCTATAATCGCGATCGTGTGAGGAGAGAGGGAGCATAAACTACCGAAAGTTACACCTAAAATCTTAGGGTTATTTACAGTCGGAATTTTGACGCCATCGATTGTAATATTAAGCTCAAGTCTATACTCCTTCGTCCAGTTCGTGAATATGGTCGCTGTGGTTTTGGTGGTTGCGGGAGTTTCSAGATGTAGAAGTTAAACAGTAGCGGAGAGAGGACACTACCCTGCGGAACCGCCTGTTTAATTCGTCTCAGTTTAGATGCTTCACCTCGAAATAGTACGGGTGACTGACGACCGTTCAGATAGTTCATGGTCCACATCTTAAGCCCTGGAGGGAGCGAAGTTTTTCAATGTCCTGCAGTAGCGTTGTGTGGTTGACTGCGTCGAAAGCTTTCGACAAGTCCAACGCTACGTGAATCGTTCTCTCACATGGTGGTTTCTAGTTGAGGCCACGGACTATCTGAGCGTTTATGACGCTGAGTGCTGTGGTGGTGCTGTGCACTTTTCGGAATCCATGCTGGTGACTGGCTAGGCTCAATTGGTGAGTGAAAGTCGGGAGTAGCAAGG